CAGCAGTTCCCTGTCCTTCTGGAACTGGGGAGCCCAGAACTGGTCCCAGTGCTCCAGATGGGGCCTCCCCAGGGCAGAGCAGAGGGGCAGGATGACCTCCCTCCACCTGCTGCTCACACTCTTCCTGATGCCCCCCAGGATGCCATTGGCCTTCTTGGCCATAAGGTCAGGCCGTAAGGTCACATTGCTGGCTCATGGGCATCCTGCTGTCCACCAGGACACAGTATTAAAAACCAACGTTCTTTGAATTAGACTGACTTCTGATATTTCAGTATAAAACCAGATAGCATACTCACATTGCTGGCACAGGGACATCCTGTTGTCCACCAGGACAACGTTCTTTGAATTAGATTGACTTTTGATATTTCAGTATAAAACCAGATAGCATACAAGAAAATGCACACATGGGCTTGTCTTATACAGCGATTAACGGCTGTGTGATTTCCACACAGATTCCTAGATAATCATAGGATTTATCCTGCATTCATCATATAGACAGGGAAAACCAGAACAGACCGGCACACCATTTGGACAGGGTGTTTTTGCGTCTGGAACAAAGTGCTAAACTTAAATAAAATAATAAATTACTTGAAGATTGTCTTCTGCATCGCTTCAGTTTATATAAAAAAAATTTAAAATATCACATAAGTTTAAGTGCATCTAAAAAGAAAAGCAGAACGGGAGTGTTTATGGGTGTGAGCGTGTAAATGCTGAATAAAACAGTCAAACAAGGATTCGAGGCAGCATTTGGTTGCCTGAGTGTTTTGTTGGCACCATTTTAAGAATTCTGATGGTGTTTCTTCAAACGAAACCGAGTCCCGAGAGAAACAGAAGGTGTCCTTTGGAGGACCTGCTGGATCTCTCCATGTGAGGCAGCAGATGGAACTTGCAGCTTGTTCTTCCACTTTTGCGGGAAGATATTTTTGGTAAAAAGAAAAGAATCCTGGTCTCTGCGCTATTGCTCACTTGGTGTGTAATCTTTAGCACATCGTAAATACCTTTCCGAGGCCACTTCCTCTGAAGTGCTGAGTGTCTTCCTCCAATATTGAGGCAACACAGAAACGCCTCACAGAAGAAACACAAATTTCCCTCTCCATTAAAAAAATAAAATTGAATTAAAAGATGTTAGTTATTTCATGGAGTCCTGCTCCACGCGTGTCCGACTCCTTGGGCATCGGCTGGAATCAGGCCACTCAGAATCTCATAAAAGGCATCCAGCATTGCTTAGTCACTGGCCAAAGGGCTTTGTGGAGATTATTTAGGATGGGATTCATCTCAATTAACTGAATTAACAGCCTTAAATTTCATTGTCTAAAAGAATCTTCCAGGTTTTCCCAGGGACAGCGGAGATAAGCATCTACAAATGCCACTTTTTCCTGGCTAAGGTGAGAGCCTGAAAACTCCAAAACTTGAAAAAAATGTCAAGGAGTATAGTTTTCCCCAGGACTCTCTGCATTCCTTTAGGTGTCGCATTTTCATCTTCAGGAGGAGGACGATCAGAGGTTTCCTCCAGGATTCCAAAAGACCAGCACATCACCCAGAGCAGCAGAACCACCAAGGGACCTAAGCATCACCTCAACACCCAACCTGAATGTGAGCTTCTCGGTTGACCCATAGGAATATCATCCACAGGAACAGTCTCCTCACGGTAAATGATCTTCCAGTCTGAGTCCTTGAGCCAAAACCATACCTTTTTAAATACTAGATTTTAACTCATTTAAAAGTTTTGCATAAACTTTATGCAATGAGATTCTATGGGCTCTGCAATGCAAACTCACAAATCAATCATCCTAACAGCCAAAACTGACCTGAAAATACATCAGGGATTTATTTCTTCTTTTTCCTAGCACAGATTACAAACACATCCGGGAAATCTATTCAGTAAAAGGGTATTCACCAGAAAATACCGTTTCCTTTTTTTGCAGAAAAGTTGTTTTACTTAAACAAGAAGAAAAGAGAGCAGATGAACGAGTGGTTTTCTCCCTCTTGCAAGTTTAAGCAGGCTTAGCAGGTGCAATTTACTACTGGAATAACAGGAAATAATAGGTAATGTTGTTATTTATTATTTGCATTACTGCAAGCACCTCTCAGGGAGCACTCACCAACACGTTGCAAAATCATCTTCCCTGCCCAAAGAGTACCAGGACCTAAATGGGGCTATGGGAGAGATGGGGAGGGACTCTTCATCAGGGAATGGAGCCATAGAATGAGGGGGAACTGTTTTAAACTGAAAGAGGGAGATTTAGATTAGATCTTAGGAAGAAATTCTTTGCTGTGAGGATGGTGAGAGCCTGGCCCAGGTTGCCCAGAGAAGCTGTGGCTGCCCCATCCCTGGAGGGGTTCAAGGCCAGGTTGGATGGGGCTTGGAGCAACCTGGTGTGGTGGGAGGTGTCCCTGCCCAGGGCAGGGGGTTGGGACTGGATGGTCTTTAAGGTCCCTCCCAACCCAAACCATTCTGTGATTCTATGAGAATGTGAGCTTCTCGGTTGACCCATAGGAATATCATCCACAGGAACAGTCTCCTCACGGTAAATGATCTTCCAGTCTGAGTCCTTGAGCCAAAACCATACCTTTTTAAATACTAGATTTTAACTCATTTAAAAGTTTTGCATAAACTTTATGCAATGAGATTCTATGGGCTCTGCAATGCAAACTCACAAATCAATCATCCTAACAGCCAAAACTGACCTGAAAATACATCAGGGATTTATTTCTTCTTTTTCCTAGCACAGATTACAAACACATCCGGGAAATCTATTCAGTAAAAGGGTATTCACCAGAAAATACCGTTTCCTTTTTTTGCAGAAAAGTTGTTTTACTTAAACAAGAAGAAAAGAGAGCAGATGAACGAGTGGTTTTCTCCCTCTTGCAAGTTTAAGCAGGCTTAGCAGGTGCAATTTACTACTGGAATAACAGGAAATAATAGGTAATGTTGTTATTTATTATTTGCATTACTGCAAGCACCTCTCAGGGAGCACTCACCAACACGTTGCAAAATCATCTTCCCTGCCCAAAGAGTACCAGGACCTAAATGGGGCTATGGGAGAGATGGGGAGGGACTCTTCATCAGGGAATGGAGCCATAGAATGAGGGGGAACTGTTTTAAACTGAAAGAGGGAGATTTAGATTAGATCTTAGGAAGAAATTCTTTG